ATGATTAAGTGGAATGAAAATATGTGCAAATACAATGAACTCATGACATCAGATTTGAAAGAATGACTAGTGGTGTTACAAATGTGATCAAATGTGAGTTTTGTACTGAGAGATTTGAAAATGCACACTTTAGTTATGAAAATAGTACCAAACCAATTAAAAAAAACTGTAGTGAAAAGTATTTGCGTGTGTGGGTTATTTTGACAGGTAATTTTAAACTTTAAAAATCTATCGCCTGACTTCCTCTATCACAGGATGTTAGCAAACTGATTGTACTTCCGCAGAATATTTCTCAACACCTAGAGCAAATACGATCAAGCAAACTGACATTGCACTTTCTTAAACAGTATGTCCTCTTCTGTGCTTCCTTATTCTAACAACAGTTAGGCGATGTGTTCCCCTGTAATTCTGGTTAAGAAATTATGTTCACTGTAAAAACCTCTCCTGAGCTGTGTGTGAACATGGTGATAGTCGGCATGTTACTGATGGTCCTCTTTGTTTCAGGTGAGCTGTTTGTTCACTATAAAGGCATTATTGGATTCATTTAAATCATTATCAGCTTTAAGGAACAAAATTAAAAGGCTGATGGAGATAAAGCTTTGTTTTTTCATACTGTTCATAGTCTGACAGGTAATTGAGATACTTTTTGTTACCAACAGAATCAAAGACATGTTGTTCATGTTACAATAGATTATATTTCAAGCAACAACTATGTAATTTAGCATCATTAATCAAAAAGGGCAAATGGTGAAAATGTGACTGTCACTTCTGGATGATCTATTATAAATTTAATTTTACATAAACAATTATTTAATTTTAGTAGTACTTTGATTAAAGTTTACATCTTAAGTCCTATGGAGGACAAATTAAAATAAGACAAGTTAATGTTTGTAATAAAATTAATTAATTAATAGGTTAGTTGTGACACTGTGTTTACAGGTGCTTTGGCTAAATGTCCTGATGAAGCAGCAGTCTTCATAAATGCATCAAAGAAGCTGGAAGCACTGAGTGGATCTTGTTTGCAAATCCCATGTAGCTTCAGACCCAAAGAAGAACAGAAATTTATCAGCACAAGAAAAATTATTGGAGTGTGGATTAAAAATCAATCCCAATTTGGCGATAATCAAAACAATGTGATCTTCAACAGTAGTGCAGCAGTTAACATCTATCCAATGAGTATTACTGGGAACCTGAGTCAGAGAGACTGCACCACTCTGTTTTGTAATTTAATCACCACATACACAGACACATACTTCTTCAGAGTAGAGAGAGAACCATTCAAAGCAACAGCTTCTTGTGATCCTCTTCAAATAACAGTCAGAGGTGAGTGATTTTGAGTTTTTTATTAGAATTATATTTTTACTTTATTGGGTTTATTTGACTTGCCTTCAGTTAAGTTTCATCAGCATTTGTTGAAGAAATATTACATTTCAGTCATAATGATTGTCCCAGAATACAGTTTAATATTGGTCGAATGTTTTATTATTTAGCTAAAAAAAATACTTTAATAAATAAATACTCAATAAATCATGACTTTATGAAATTAATAAAGTTATATGTAAATTTAAGATAAGATGAGTGGTTTAGAGATTTTAAACACTGGTATAAACTGCAGTGTGCTCTGTAGTGTTAATATGTCTGTGATGTGAAACCACAGATTCTCCTTGGAGGCCCAATATTACAATCCCAGGTGATCTGAAGGAGAAGGAGTCTGTCACTATAACCTGCTCAGCTCTCACTCCCTGTCCACACTCCCCTCCTCAACTCACCTGGAATCTCCAACAAGACTCTCACAACAAAATAGAGGAAAACACAGATGGAAGCTTTACAACTAAAATCCAGCAGAACATCACTCTGTCAGACACACATGATGGAAAGAAGATCAACTGCTCTGCCAGATATCCTGTGAACCAAGGAAAAGACACCAAGACAGCAGAGACAGAAGAGACTCTCAGTGTTTCATGTAAGAAAATCAGAATTTGTAGTTGGATCCTGTCAACATAGCATTTGATTCATTGGGAGGTCCACTGTTTAGAATGAATAATGATGATTTCTGTCAATCTTTTTCTCCAGATGCTCCTAAAGACACCTCAGCATCCATCAGTCCATCAGGTTTGGTGTCAGCAGGCAGCTGGGTGAACCTGACCTGCTCCAGCAGAGCCAAACCTCCAGTCAGCAGCTTCACCTGGTTCAAGAAGAGCAGAGATGGAGCTGTGAAAGTATCTGAAGGAGAGATTTACAGCTTCAATGTAACAGATGGAGGAGTTTATTACTGTGTGGCCACTAATGATCTGGGTAATCAGACATCAGCAGAGATTAACGTGACTGTTGGAGGTAAAAGCCACTCATGTGTTAAATGCTCCTGTTTCTTTTTATCCATTCAAACTCCAAACTTTAAAAATAACTTCACCTTTGTCTTTCTTTAGGAGACACACTGTGGCTACTTCCTGGAGTAATCATTGGGATCATTGTTCTCTTACTTATAATTCTCCTCTGCTTGATCATCTTTGTTTGGTAAGTATCACACATCAAAGCAGAAAAACACAATTAGCTACTCTCACAGATATTTTAGCTACACATTAAAAATTTCTGTTTTAAGCTTAACTTTGTTCACATATATTTAACATACACAGAGATAATTTTTTACTGCCTCTTGTGTCTTCCAGGTCGTTAAAGTCAAAGCAACAAACTCAACAACAGATTCTGGTAAGGAAATTACAAAGAAAAAAAAATTCTAGCTGCAGGGTTACTTGAATGTTTTGGCGATTACAGCAGTAACTTCATCAGAGCAGTCTATTTATTTAATAAAACATGAATAAGAATGAACCTAATTCACCGAGCTTTCTGTTTTTTTAACTCTATAGATTCAAATAAATGAAGAGCAGAAGGTTGATGAACCAGCAAGTAAAAAGGAAGAAGAGGAAGAAAACATCCATTATGGAGAGATCAGCTTCTCCACACTGGCATATGAAGCATCGTCTAACTCAGTGCGGGACAGTGGACAGCAGCAGCATACGGTGTACGCACAGATCAAAAAGCGAGAAAAAAGCTTAAAACAAAGGGCTCACGGCCAAGAGGAACTCTACGCTGAGGTGAAGAAAAAATGAGAACTGTTGTGAAATAATTTTAAATTAACATATAAATACACACATGGTGCCCGTAAATGTGTCATTTTCACTGCCTACAGTTCAGTGAAGTAAAACAACTAAAATCCCATTCCATGGCTTTTTTATGTCCTATTTTCCATGCTAACTTTACACGGCTGTTTTCAGATGATTAACTGTGTTCATGGCAAATGTGACTAAATGAGTAAGTGATAAATTGCAGCACTCCAAAAAAAGAACTAGTTTTACACAACAACAGATGCTGTTCTGCAAAACTAAAACTTAAAACCTCAACATACTGTCGCTTTTTTTTAAAGTATATTTTAAGTTATTATGTTCCTAAAGTATTTGCATGCTGCTACGCTGTGTGAGCTGTTGTTTGATTTTGTCAGTTGCATTTCTGAAGTTCTGCTTCCAAATTGTTTTTGTGGCACGCCCCCTGAACTAACAGGTCAAGATGGCAGCACTGAATCTAAACAGAATTAAAACTGTAAACTTTGAATCTGAACTACCATTGTTCTGTATTTTGTCTCACTAAATAAGCCATACGCAGAGCATTGATCAGGCTCTATCCGTTAACGTGTTTTTTAGAAGTGTTATGCTGCATCACTCCAGATTCAAGTTCCAACATCTGAGTTCCCAGATGTCTAAAATGCAGCACTGGAACCACAAACCAGTATTCCCATTCATGCTGGTGGGCATTTTCTTTTGGCTTCTCCAGGGTAAGTTTAACACTGCCGATCTGCATCGGGTAATCTAAATGTTCTCCTGGAGAGTTGGAAAGGCAAAGAGGAAATGGAAATGCACGCAATAGGAGTGTCTTTCTCTGGCCTTTCCATGTATAGTTATCAGTTTTCACTGCCAGGGTAGTTACAGCATAATGCAAAAATGTTCAGTGCAAAACCTTTTGTTCCCCACTACCTGAACATGGCATTCAAATTAAAATTCCACTAAGCTGCTGTGAATTAAAGAGGCATTTAGCAGCCTCACCCTCTTAGAGAGCAAAATCAAAAACCTTTTTAAACTCTACAATGAACTGGTTTTGGTAATCATTGGATTTGTGCTCAGGCAATGCTTGGGTCAGTTTCAGTGCAGAAGTGCATTTCTGTCTTTGTGTAGCACTGTTCAGCTGGTCTGGACATCAGTGCTCAACTAACAACCTGTGACTCTGCTAGTACTTCACAACACTGATGTGTAACAGCTGTGTGTACAGCTAATGTTTGGGCAGATTCCTCTGTCATAATCCCAGTAGATATGAACCCAAATGCACGACTCAGACACCAGAAACAATTTAACAGTTTATTTTTGGAAAACTAAGAACTTACAGAGTCTGGGCTTCTGAACTGTCGAGAAAACAGGAAACCAGAAACAGAAAAATTCAATGTGAATCTATGTGAAAAATAGTTAAAGGTTAGACTATTTTTATCTGTTCGCCACCGGTCCATTCATCCATTCCAAAAAGGGTTTTGTTTGGGGGTTTTTGCATATTGCAATGTTTTGGTTTAATCAATAAAAAATGACTATCCATTATGTTCAATTGTTGGTGAAGTCATCTTATTTAAGTATTTAACATATTTTATCATATGGTCCAGTGTTGTCTTTGTTACTATAACATAAATATAATGTAATTTACATGGCATGTACAGACTTTGGCTCTGACTGCTGAAAACGGGAAGTGCTCAGTAATGTTATCTTTAATACTTTCTTAAAAATGTATTTTTAGCCATTAAAACTGGATAAGTGAAAAAAAAATTAAAATCCTTTCAGCGTTGGGTTACTAGAAAGGGGGAAAAACTCAAGAAAAGCATTCATTCTTTATTATTGTCTTATCTGTTGTTTCATTTCTTCGTTTGTTTTGTTTTAATGTTGAGTTAAGTCAATGTGACAATGTGTTGTTTGTTTTGAAGAGTTAAAAAGCTCTTCATATCCATCTTTGATGTCACTTTTTGGATTTCAGTGCCATCTGCTTCAGTTCTTCATTCAGTGTGTAAAGAGGAAGCATGAAGACACAGAGCTTTCTACATGATGTTGACTGATTTAGGTAGATTTATTTTCTATCAGAGCCAAATGATATAGGTTTGAGTGTTGGGAAAACGGCCATTAAACTGCACTCTGGGACTGCAGGAAATTTTCCTTGTCAAAAACTGTACTTAGGCATCCTAATGAATTACTAAACAGATGTTGTATATTTTTGTATTTGTTTTTGCAGCAAATGTCTTTAAGAAAGCAAAGGATTACACAATATCAGGCACCATGTAACATTTCAACAAATACTGTGATGTAATGCAGTGCGACTGAATTTGAGTGCTCTGAATTTGATTAGAGCGTTCATGTATGTTTATGAAAGGCTAAATCACTCAGAGATCAAAGTATGGCTTAAATGGGACCCCCCAAAAACTGCTCATTTAAAAAATGAGCATTACTTTCTTTTTTTCTTCACTTCTTTAGGCAGGATGGTTTCATGAGAGTTGTTCCCTGCCTGAAGGGTTTTGGTGAAAAGTCATTAAACAGCCAGCAGATGGAGCAGTGTGCTTTTCTGTGTGGTAGATGTTGCAAAAATACTTGTACAGCAGTTGAAGAGCGATGAGAGCGAACAGGACTTTTCCATCACATGTTATGCTGCTCCACATGACTGACCTGTGTGGCATGTTTGCCAAAGTGAATGATTCTCTATGTTATTCTATGCTATCCTCCTTTCAAAAATAAGATAACTTAATTTGAGCTGTAGCATTCAGGTTAGCTCCTTAAATATTGTTATTGGATTTATCGAGTTAAGTACTGCATTTCATTCATCCCTCTCTTTGTATGTGTGCGCAATGATGTAGTTGTGGTTGTGTGGGACGTTTCTGCACCTCTTTGTGTGACGCATCAAGCTGATTTGTATTTGTGTTCATTTTAATTTTACAGTTAATGATACAGAAGTAATGTTTATGGAGAAGGCACACTACTCCTGTAGTGAAAATAAAATAGGAAACAGGAAAAATTTTAGAAGAATGAAATTCTTAAAATTAGGAAAATGTACTTAAAGTATTAAAAGAAAGAATTACAATAATACTGCTGTCGTTGATGAAACAATGAGACTTTTCTCTGTTTAGATCTTTTAATGTTAAAGCAAACAGACCTGTGATGCTTTTGGTTTTCTGTCTTTCTTTATTCAGTCAGTCTGCTTTTTATAATCCCATCATGCACTCTGCTGTCATTTTAGTTGCTGCCACTCCCACCTACCTTTCTCTAGATTCACCTCACCTGTCCCTCCACTTACATAGTAACCTGTTTATTATTGTAGGGTCTACCTTACAATGTAAGGTGCCTTGAGGTGACCGTAGTTGTTATTTTTCACTTTATAAATAAAATTGATTTTTTTCCACTTTCCTCATTCTCTCATTAGGTATATAGTATTTTTAGCAGCTTATGTCATCATTTCCTGTCTTCTGCATTATTGTTGTGCCTCAGCTTTCCAGTATTTTGCTTTATGAGTTAATGTTGCCATGCTCATGAACTTCTTCTTTGTTTGTCTGTATCAAATTTTTGTTTTGTTATATTTTCCCTAATTAAAAACTCTTTGCTTTTTTTATCCCTCTCCTGAGTCGTGCTCTCCTATCACAAACCCGCTATGAGAACATTGAAACGTTGAAAAGTTTTAGCTCAGTCTCATCAGGGTGCAAATTGATTATTTTTGAGTAGTGCTGTCAGCGTTAATCTCGTTAAATTGATGTTAACGCTATAACTGCATTAATGCAAGTTAATCAGTTAATCAGTCATTTAAACCAAATAAACACAACCACAAATGTGACTGCTGCAGCTATTGCAAGAGGTGATAATACACAGAATGGCAGACCACATGACTGGGTAATTTTATTACAGGAATTTGTTTGTCTGAGAAGCTTCCTGTTGACGAGCTTCCTCAATGTGTTTAAATGTTTCTGCTTTTATTTAATGAGTCCCTTATCATAAATCCATTTAAATGTCAGCCAAAATCTGACACTTAGTGTAAATGTACTCCTTTGCGAGCCAAACTAGGGCTTAGAAAGAATCAGTCTTGACATGTTGCACATCTATGTTTTAATTCTAGTAATCGTCGAGGTGAACTTCACTAGAGCTGGACAAAGAAACCCAAAAAAACAAATTGGCACCCCAGGAAATGTTATCTCATAAATGAAAACACAGACATGTATGTTAACTTATCATATTATTATTTTTAAATAAACTCAGAGTTCTCTGGTGTGAACCGAAGCAGTAATGATGATAATTCAAGCTCTCTTATGGCTCAGCCCACTGAAAAGGGCTCACTCTTTAGCTTCCCAAACAACGCTTCACATTGATTTTTTCAATTCATTTAAAAAGAATAAGTAGTGACAAAATATATATTATATCAAAGATTTATTATTTACATGGCTTACTATACTGAACATCTAACAAAAAAAATGAACATCCCAACTTTCCAAAGTTTTCCAAAAATTCCAGTGTCTATGAAGAATTTTTTTTTACCACTTAACTCAACTTAAATATTTTCTTTCTTAGCCCTTTATTCTGAAAAGAAATAATCATGTTACAAGGACATATATGTACAGTCTCAATACAATGCACAATGCAGAGTACATGAATGAGAAATCACAGTCGGAATTCCTCCTCTCTATACTTACACTCAATGAGCTCCTCCCTAACGAATGCCAAGTTATCTTCTCCATACTGTTTATATCCATCCATCTTCATCCGCTTTATCCTAGGCCAGGTCGCGGGGGCAGCAGCCTAAGCAGAGAGGCCCAGACCACCCCCAGCCACCTCCTCCACCTTATCCGGGGGAACACCAAGGCGTTCCCAGGCCAGCCGAGAGATATAATCTCTCCAGCGTCTCCTGGGTCTGCCCCGGGGACTCCTCCCGGTGGGACATGCCCAGAATACCTCACCCAGGAGGCGCCCAGGAGGCATCCTTGTCAGATGCCCGAACCACCTCAGCTGGCTCCTTTCGATGTGGAGCAGCAGCTCTACTCTGAGCCCCTCCTGGATGGCCGAACTTCACACACTATCTCTAAGGGAGAGGCCAGCCACCCTTCGGAGGAGGCTCATTTCTGCTGCTTGTATCCGCGATCTCGTTCTTTCGGTCACTACCCACAGTTCGTGGCCATAGGTGAGGGTAGGGACGTAGATCGACTGGTAAATTGAGAGCTTCGCTTTTACACTCAGCTCCCTCTT